AACCCAGATTTCAAAAGACTCCAGAGACAGACATCAAGCAAGGTGCCTCTGGGAGGGCAGTGCATGACATTGTGGGAATGAAGCCAAAGGTGCAGTTCATACTCCAAGAATTTGCAGATGACAGGAATGTGGAATATCAGCCAAGGAAACCTGCAGGCTTAAAGCAGAGTCAGTCTAACAGACCAGCTCTGAGGGCCACTAAAGTCATTTGGAACTCACCTTTTAACACCATGGGCCCCACTGTAACACTTGATATGGAGCTTTATGGGACCTACTGTTTGTCCTCCTAGTTTCAGTCTTCTTTTGGTCCAAGTAGTCTACCTCTCTATTCCTTCCTTTTGGGATGGAAATGTTAACCCTGTGCCATTGTACACTGGGGCTGTGTAACTTGAGATTTTCACAGTGGTTAACAGTTAAGAGCTTGCCTTGACTGTCATGTAAGACTCAGTCAGACACGGGCTATTGAGAAATGCTGGAATTTGGTGAACTTAAAGAAGGGATTCTTGCAGTTATGGTTTACATAGAATAATCCTGTTATATTTGGTACAATTATAAACTTGCCATTGTCTTTATTTGGAGATTACATATAGGTTAACATGTATTTATTGATAAAGGGTAGGGATGTGGTGGACAGTAAAGTGTTAACTAGACTGGCTTTCAGTTGCACTAGCAAATTGCTGGAGTACATATCTGACTTTGCCTGGGTGGGTCATGGAGGTGTACCCAAGGGTCTATATCTGGTCCTTCCCATCTTCTTTCCTCTCAAGTATTGGTCTCCTACTCTGTTTCCTGGCCACCATGAACTAAGAAGTTTTTCTCTGTCATGACCTTCCACCATATTTCTACATTTGACCCAAAATCCCTTTAAAATACAAGACAAAATAAACCTCTCTTCGTTTAAATAGTCAGTTTTGGATGTTGTGTCCAGCAGTGGGAAAGCTAATACACTGGCTTCCACTATCCTGGCTATGATGTTGAATCATCCTCTAAATTAAATACCCAATCAAAAATGGGCAACTGAAATAATATTCACTTCTCAGAAAAAGTACAAATGTAGAATATATAAAAATATTTAACATTTCTGATCATTAATGAAATGCAACTTAACACAACACTGAGATTCCATCTAACTCTCAAAAGAATGGCTATAATCAAGAATTCAAATAATAACAAATACTGGCAAGGCTGAGGAGGAACACTTTTACATTGTTGGTGGGAATGTAAACTAGTAAAACACCGTAAAAACCAGCATGGGAATTTCTCAAAAAACGAAGTAGAAATTACATTCAACCCAGCAATACCTCTTGTGTCTATTTTTCCAAGAGTTAAAGACATCATATTACAATGATACATGCATACTCATAGTTACAGTAGAACAATTCATAATAACTAACTCTTGGAAGTGGTCTGTATGTTTATCAGCAGTTGAGTAGATTTTAAAAATGTAGCATTTATCCCCAAAGGAGTACTACTCTGCTATAAAGAAGCATAAATTTGAGTCATTCATAGGACAATGAGTACACCTTGAGATCATAATGTTAAAGTGAAATATGTCAGACACACAAGCTTAAACCACACATAGCTTGTTTTATATGAGAACCTTAAAACATAAACAATTTAAAGAGCAAGATAAGAAACAGATGATAGAAAACAGGATGATAGATCTTTTGCAAATACGAAGGGGAACAACAGATGCTGGGGAAGGAGTTGGAAAAAGAGGGTGTAACAAGAACTAAGATGTTATGTACATGTACCAATTCCCCACAATGAATGTAATCATTATGTACTACAAATGAACTAATAAAAATATAATTTTTTTAAAAAGGTGATGGCAGCAAAGGATACACCTGTTCAAACAGAATGGAGGTTTTCAAAAAAGGGCACACTTCCTTTTTTCCTTTTTTGTTCCCTCCAGTCTGCACACTATTGATTGGTGCCACCCACAATCAGGGAAGGGTTTGCTCTCTCAGCTTGCTGGCCTACATCCCAATCATCCATGGACCCACACTGAACTGGGTGTTAGTAATCTGTTAAGTCTTTCTTACTCCAGGCAAATTGAACTATTACAGTAAACAGTCATAATTGTGGTTTTCTCAGATTCTTTTTCGGTATTTATATAGACAGCCGTATGTTTTTCCTTGTTGCATCTATTAATAAATCCCCTTAATATTAATATTAGTAAATCATGTGTACATTTCTTAGAGAAAGTCAAACTTGGATAAACATCGTCATTTTTCTAAAGTAGCAGTGCATTATGTTAGGTAATATTTATTCATTTTTTACTATTCATAGAAATATTGTCTTTCCCTGTCATACTTAAGGCCTTTTGGCTTAGTCAATTCATATTCTTCTTGATTTTCATTTTTTTTCTTGTGACTTTCCTTTTTGATGCTATCTATACTATGTTTAGATGTCAAGGATGTACCAGACAGGAATAATTCTGAAAAAAGAATAAAAATCATTCCTCAATTTGTATTTGAGAAGAGAGATAAGCAGTACTATATAGGAGATGAGGTAGCAATAAGGAAGATAATGAAGCAGGGAAGGCACCTCTGAGAGACGACTTCATAGAAGGCCTGAAAGAAGTGAACTAGCCATGCAGATAGTCAGTCTTTTTTTAAAAATTTTTTTTATTGCCATCAATATCATCCCTAGTCTTTTTTTTTTTTTTTTCGTTTTTGATCGGCACCGGGGATCGAACTCATGACTGCCTGCTTGCAAGGCAGGCGCTTATGCCACTGAGCTAAATCCCCAGCCCCCCAAATAGTCTTAATAGTTACATGCTATGGGGAGCCTTGTACCCAGCATTTCTGAGTGTACTGTCTGATAAGAATCCTCACCATCATGTTGAGTAGTATTATATTATCTCCTTTTACTTATTTAATCAGTACCAGGGATTGAACTCACGACTGCCTGCTTGCAAAGCAGGTGCTTACGCCGCTGAGCTAAATCTCCAGCCCCTTATCTCCTTTTATTTTTAACAAAATGCATCTGAGATTGAGATCTGCCAAGTGTCTCTGACTTAACCAGGATTCCTAAACACCATGTTAAATGATGTTTTTTTATAAACTTTAATAATTTGTAAATAATTTTTGCACATGTAGCCATGTAATAAAGATAGCATCACAAATCATAAGACTTATCATTTAGTTTTTTGGTTTTCTCTTTTTGTCTTGTTATTAGGAACACAAATTGTCGGTATTGGTGATGGAAGACCTTTTCTGGTTTTCAAGTGCATTAATGGTAACATTTGCAGTTTTGAGTTACTTGTATATGTACTCTTGTCTATACACATAGATACATGTCCGTTATTAGAAAAAATGTTTGGTTTTATTTTTGTTTTCTAAGGATTTTTTAAAAACATAAATGAATATTGAATCTTATCAAAATGTTTTCTGCATCTCTAAGATAATCATGTAACTTCATTCATTTAAATTATTTGCATTAAAAACATTTGTTTTTAAAATCTTTAAAATTTTGCAACATGCAAATGTTCAGGAGTGTACAAAATATAAATATACACTTTAGAGAATATAAATAGAAATTTGCTTTTTCAAAAAACTCTGCTTCCTTTCCCTGAGTCAAGTGTTACTCTGACTTTCATAGGAAATCACTTCATTTGTCTTTCCTTACCATTTTATCAACTTTACTCAAATCTTTAAACAATAAAATTAAGTATTGGGCTGTTTTGTTAGTTGCTGTTTTTGTCTTTTCACTTTTTATCATTTTATTTTTCCTCCTTTGGAAGCTATATACTGTTTTTATTCTTTTGATGACTACCAAAATGATTATGACATGCACCTTTCTCAAAATCTAAGTTACAAAGAAAGTTTAAATGTTTTTATCATAAACAAATGATAGATGTTTAAAGAAATAGATAACATTTAAACAGATTTACATACTGCACAATATATATGATGTATGATAGGATGAATGTATAATTTTAAAAAATTCACTGCAGTAAAACACACACACACACACACACACACACACACACACACACACACACACATATCCTGTCAGTAATTCCCCTTACTTCCCTTAACTTCAACCACACTTATTCCATCATTCCTTCTAGTTTCTGAAACAGTTCTGGAAAGCCTCTTTCCTATCTTTAATTGTGTTATCACAGTTGCCTTGATGTCTTGATTAGATTCAAAGTATTTCCCTTTCTCAGTTATTTTGACTCTGGGAAAGAGCCACAGTCACATAGTGCCAGATCCAGTGAAGAAAGAGGATGCAGACATATCACACTGTTCACAAGGCTGCCTTTCCATTGGATGGCACTCAGTAGCAGCCTTTACCAAACTTTTTTTTAAAAACACACCTCATAAATACACTCACAAAAGATGACTTCCAGAACTGCTTTAGTTAAGTGGCAAGATAGGCTGTGTGTGTTCAAAGCAGGAGAATATTTTGAGGGGAATTAATGGTAATGTGTGTTTTCCTGTAACAATTTTTAAAAATTTAAACATCCACCATATTTCTATCACACTACGTACATGTATCACATCATCACATGGTACTCTATAAATATGCACATTTTTATGTTTCTGTCATTCAGTTACAAATAAGTATAAATTTAAAATGTCTGAATTAAGCAGTAATCTTTACCTTCCTACTAGTTTTATCACAACCTTTTAACATAATACCATTCCTCCACTCCAGATTTATGTAAGAAGTTGTATACTTTAATTTTCTCTACCTAGTCAACATTTGTATTATCAAATAAAATGTCTGTGTAGCAAAACACACATAAAGGCCTGTACTATGCAAAACAGGCACCTATAAAACCATCTCCTAAATCAAGGAATGGAAGGCAGGCAGCAATTCAGAAGTCATCTTAATCACTAATCTTTCCTTCTCCTCAAATTTAAGTATTGATTACTCAAAGATAATCAATAGTCTGATATGCATGGTAATCTACTCCTTGATTTTCTTATATTACCACAAGTCATTTATCTACTTAAGTATTTATGTCAAATGAAATGTATAAATAATTAAGAAAATTCTTCATAACATGTTTATTTCATGCAGAGCTACATAAATTTCTATATTTTAACAACTAATCATATAAACATTTCAAAAATTTCATTACATCACAATAAGTTACAGTACTACAAAGGAATTGCAAGTCACCAAGTTTGTCAAATTCAAATGCAGAAACCGTTATGCATAGATAAGGTAAAAAATGCTAATTTACTTATAGGTAGCACTTTAGAAGCTATTTACAAATACCTATTTGAAAATGTAGGGAGAATTTACAGAGAAAAATAGTTAAACCTACAACACACTGGTCAGATAGGAAAACATTTATCAGATCAGGTAATAATGGTTGATTAAAGATAAATTTAGCATCATGCACTAAAAATGAACATAGTTAACATTTTGAAAAACTCAACAGATGCACATTTGAAAAAACTTTATCTTCTATTTCACGAATCACCTGAATTAGAGGAAGAGAAAAATAATAAGCACTTTATTAATGCAACATATAAGTTAGGCTTTTGGTATAATTTGCTTGGGTACTGAGTATCATATATCTTTATACAGATATAGATATATGATGTAGCAGTGTTTCAAATTCATGTTATTCAACTTTAGAATATTTTTCCTAAGATATGATCAAAACCTATTTGAGAAAAAAATTTAAACAGTAAAAGCAGTACTATAATTAGCTACTTACACAAAATGTTATAAAAATTAAATAGCAAGAAATAATAAGATCAATATTAGAGCAATTTTGTATTTTTCATTGCTATAATTTATAAATATATATTAGAGTATGATAATTGAAAAGGCAGGTCTACATAATTTATACCCTCTAAAATGAGAAAAATATTTCAAGTTGGTTTAAAAATAAGGACAAAAACAAATCCATTGGATTGCTTAAAAAAAAAATACAGATTCTCTCCCCTACAACTTGGTATACTAAATAGGGAAGATATTAGCCAGCATTCTTTCGATAAATACAGCTCTGAGTTAAGTTGACAAGATTTGTTAATAATATCAACTCTAAATGGTGTTATACTGTTTTAAAAGTATGACTTTATATATGTCTGCCATAGTAAGATGTCTTTCTACTCTTCTGAACCAAATACAGTAAAATTCTCCTTTTACAAAATAATTTGAGATTAAGATAATCACAAAAGAAAAGGTTTTCCAGGGAAAAGAATGTTAATTTAAAACAAATATATCTTAGGAGACCTATGACCTATGACCTTAGGAGACCTATAAGAGAAATACACCAATAATCTTGCTTTATTAAGAAATATAATAGTCAGATGCACATCTGTAGTCCCAGCTATGCAAGAGGCTGAGACAGGAGGATCACTTGAGCCTGAAAGTTCATACTAGTCTGGGCAAAATAAGAGATCCTGTCAAAACAGGAGAGGGGAGAGGAAGGGATAAGCACAGAGTTGAAGAAAGGAGGAGAAAGGAAGGAAGGGGAGTATGGAGGGAAGAAAAAACTGATTGACTGAAAAGTTATAGCAAAGCTTCAGCTGACATTAATGACCAAATATTTGAAAATGGAAATAAAATTTTAAATAAATCAGGCTTGGAACAGAAGAATTGGGGAGAAGAGCATGTTTCCTGTCCAGTGGGAAGGGGACACATACTGTGGCTGATGATTCAAGAGGGCTTGGTCTCTAGGAATTTGGAAAGAAGATAATACCACATGATGTGTTGCTGGACAGGAAAAAGTCACTGAGTTGGAAGTACCCTACACAGAGAGGCATTTGTATTTAAGAAAATCTCCTGTATTCCTCATATTGTTTCAACTTTCTCAAAGAAATTTTTAATATTATTATTTATAAATTTCTTTTTATTGAAAAAAAGGTTTCATAGTTCTTAATGAGTTTTGATTTTCTTTTGTCCCTTTTTTGGGAATACATTTTTATGGGAAAAACATTACACTGAAATAATTATTTCACTAAAGTGCCCTCCTTAGTGACCTAAGTGACAACACACTGACCTTGTAGCATACTTAACATTTCCCTTCAAATGTGGCTTAGTGTCTAGCAAAATCTGTTTCACCACTTTACATTAAGTACGTTACTGCTATTACAAGCAGTGAGATTTGTAGTCAGATGTAGCTCTGTTTAAGTGTACTACCCATTGAAAACAACTGTGTACATAAAACAGAAGAAAAATCTATTGGCATTTTGAAAGCCACATAAGACAGGTCTCAAAAAGGAAGGAACGAAAAAGTGACAGAAGTGGCAGAAAAGACAAAAGCCTAAATCCATTTACTTCTTAACATTTAGTGCAATCTATTACACCTGGAGTATGCTAAGTTTCTCAGGAACACATTTTTTAGTGCAAATATACCTTCCTCCTTCTGATTTTCAGGCCTAGTCCACTCACATCATAAGTATAAACCTTATCTTACTGAACAGTGTGAACTGTAAATACAGAATGTATTTATCCTTTACTACAGTAATCAATACAACATCAAGAACATTCCCTAAAACTATTAAACATAATGAAAATGAAGTTTGTTATTGAACACAAATGAAACTCCTTCATTAACATGCTAAAACATACTTTAAAAAAGCATACATATTGACTTTCCTACTTACATTTAATTTAGGTATATATTTTGCTTAAATTTCTAGAGCAATAATTTAAACAAATAGGCAAAAAAAACCCAAATCAACTAACAGGATTATTTTTTAAATGTCTACATTGTTGAATTCTTTGATATAGTCTTTATAATGTGGAAAACTAATGCTCTGATTTAGTTTTCTGCCACTTTTATGAAGAGAAGGCCTTTTGTACCATTAAATTATCGTAAAGCCCCTGTATTCATTTGGAATACAGTCAAGTTTTAATAATTAGACATAGACTTTATTTTTTAAGAATGTTTTTAAGTTGGGCATAGTGGCCTTTGAGACAGGATTGTGAATTCAAACTCAGCCCAGACAACTTAGCAACTTGGTAAGATCCTGTATAAAATGAGAAAATTTTTAAAAAGGGATGGGATATACTTGAAGGCAAGGACCCTGGGTTCAATCCTTGGCACTGCACCAAAAAATAAAATAAATTTTTTGACAAAAACTGCTCTATTGATAATAAGTTGTTTATGTCATAAAACAACCAGCAATTTACAAGTGATTCATGAAATTTACAGGTTAGTATTACTTTCTGCAATGGTTATTTGAATCACTAGCTTACTGAATATCCTTGCCTAATAATTACTTAGAAAAATAATTTAGAAAACTCTAATCAGGTACTCCTCACCATGTAAGAAAGAGATCAAAAAGTAATTATCAGAAATAGTCTTTAAGAAATGCACTTTGCATGTAAAGTATATGAATTTAGTAGTAATATTTTACAATCAGTCTCACATGTTAATAAGCTTCTCAAAACAGAAAATTTTTTGTATATATGTTGTTTACATAAGGTAGTTTAACAAATATTAACTTATTCGCCAGAATAAAAACCCTCTTAAGTCTTCAAAGGTTAAATCAATGCTTTCCAAACTGAAATTTACTCAGCAAAGTAACTTTCCTAAGTGGCTGCATATAAAATGCTTTAAGACAAACTCTGCTTTAAAATTTGAAGACTTGGGATCACAGAACTAATCAAAAATTATTTTGAAATAACTCAAAAGTCAAAGGGACTCTATAACACTTGCAAAGTATAAATACATGTGCTTCAATTATTATAATCATAAAAATTTAATAATAAAGAAAGAGTAACATTTCTTTATATTTTTAACTATCACTATAAAAGTTATTTATTAAAGTAACTGGACAATTTCTTCTTTTTCTATTTCTTTACAACAGCATCTGAGTTTCATGACAAAACCTTATGAGAAACACGATTCTTTAAATCTAAATACTAGGCCGAATAATAAAACAGATTTTCTACAGGACATTTGATGAATTAATTTTAGAAAGTTTTTGCTTTGAGGACTTGTAAGCTTCTCTGTCACAACAAGAACTTCGATCCCTTTCTGGGAAGATCATTTCTCTCATTTGACATCTTCAGGTACCACTAGGAGGACATAGCATCTAAATTCTTATACATAAACCACAGCTCAACTCCCTCACAACAGTTTTGTGAGTATTTCAGTAGGAAAATTGCAAGTATCTTCTTCATTCTGCAAATGAAGAAACTGAGACACTGAAATGTTACATGGTCTGCCCAAAGGAGTCACTGAATCAATTGTGAAATTATAAACAATATTAAATTATCACTTCTTCTAGTCTATTGCTAACAACACTTCAGAATAAAAAGTTCAAATGTGTATCCTCAAATGAGCAGGCTATATGATCTCCAACTGAGAATACATCTATCCATTAATAATTATTTTAAAGGGGGATATAACTTCAAAGATCATTAAAACTGAAAGATCAAAAACAGATAGGGACTGTAGGTTTAGCTCAGTGGGGAATACTTGTTAGCATACACAAGGCCTTGGGTTCTATCTTCAGCACCATAAAAAAAGTAAAGAAGAAAAAAAATTAATACTTGGATAGGAGCATGCTTTTAAAATTTTTCATGATAACATTCATTAAAGAGGAAAGTAAAAATTTTTAATTTATGACTCAGGAAAATTATCTTCAAGAAACATATAATTATATTATTAGGATAATACTAGAATCTTCTAATATAGACAGTTGAAATGGAAAATGAGCACTAGTAATAATTATAAGGACGCTACTCTGAGAATCAGCAGCCAGGTATATTGGCTTATTGCCTTATACCTGTAATCCCAGCATTCTGGGAGAATGAAGCAGGAAGATTGCAAGTTCAAACCCACTTTATGAATTTGTGAGACTGTCACAAAATAAAATACAGCCTGGAATGTAGCTCAGTTTGAAGTCTCTGAGTTCAATCCCCAATACCATCAAGAAAAAAACCAAAAATTAAAAAACTGAGAGGCAAGCTCAAGTATGGTTACCCCATGTGGCATGGATTCTATGAGAATTACAAGTATTTTCAGAACTATAAATACTCTCTGTGAGCATGTTACACTGTGCTACTTCCACTTTGCAATAAAATGCTGGTGCTTTAAAATATAATACTCAACTGTGGCTTAAACCAAAAAGATTAAAACCATCAAGATGAAATAATAAGCACATTTAACCAAAAAGTTATTATTATACAATTCTGTTCTAGTAGTTTTCTATAAAGCATAATTTAATAAATTCATGTTTTATCTTTGAATAGCCACATGTTTTCTTTTTAAAAAGTGTAAACAAGAAACTTTAAATAGATAATTCTGAAGAATTCTTTGGTTATTAAAAATTATCATTAATACTTAAGATTGCCCCTTAAACTGAATCAGTACTTAAATCAATATACTAAACACCCAAAGTGAATTATTTCCCTCTGAAATGGAAATCTTTTCTAATGTAATACCAAAGCGTTTTTAAAATCCAGTTACTTCAATGACTGAAAAATAATATATTGTTTGGTTAGTGTATACATGCTAAAGATACTAACACTATTAATCGAAATATAATCTTAATTATTCATGCAAAATACCTCACAAATTTGCATACAGATTTGAAAAAGAACTTTTTACATTCAGTTATGTCTAGTAAGTAAGTTTTAAGACATGAGTTTTGTAAATATGGTTATTACTTGAGGTCTCCATTCACTTATGTTTCTTTGGGAAATACAGGTTGAATACATTTTTTAGAAACAACAATAATGTAAATCACAACAATAAAATGTATGACATTTAGTACCTTTATGGCTTCCTTGAATCTTTAAGTAACTTTCCTGAAAAGAATTTGCATGAAACTGAAGTATATGTTCTCTACATATACTGATCTTTATCATGAATTAAATCTTTCCACTGTAACCCTACTTCTAAGGCAGACACTTAGGGAATGGTATGTAATAAATCTTTTAGAAAAGATAATACCCTTTAATAAACTAAACTGTGATTAATTCTTTTTGTTGTTGTTGTTGTTGTTGTTATACTGACACTTCCTTGACAGTAGGCAGGAAATTCTAGGGCGTACAGATGTTCACAAAAACTGAACCAATGTGATGTGTTGACCCGCTTAGTTGTTCCACAAATTTTTTCAGACTTTAGATATCTTCAAATATTATACTGGAAGACATTGAGAGATATCGTCCACCAGGCTGATATCTAAAGGGCAAACATAAAGAAATCATCTGAGGCATTAAAAATAGAAAACGATAATGAGAACACTATAAAAGAAACTAACCACATAGCTTGTGAGCTAAATCAATCAGCAGCTAAATGCAGAAACTTACCTTCCAAACATATTATCCAAAAGAACTTAGTTATAAATTAACCAGCAATTGTTTTAGAGTCTAGAGTATATATATGACAGAGAAATATTTTTTTAAAAATGAGAGTATGTAAGACATATTCAGGAGACTTAATCAGTTTAATAACCACTCTCAATTACTGAATATAAATAGAAGATTTTAGGTTTTTGCTATTTATAGTAATAATACAGCAACATCTCTGTGCATCTGATATTTGTTTTAATTATTTTTGCTTTTATTTAATTATTTCCTTGTACCATAGTTGCTAAAACTATAGTCTTTGCAGTAAGAATACTGGAGTCTACATGCCTGACTTGCCATTTAGAGGTGGCTCTAGCCAAAGTTAGGCCTCTCTGTATTTGTAACCATAAAATATCGTTAAAGTACTTAGAAGTGTATCTTCCATCAAGATATAGATACACAGTTGTTTGCTAAATATAATAAACTTCATAAATAGAATTGCCAGGTACAGGCATACGCACATATATGTGCATATATATAAGAACTTCAATTCTTATGTATAATATAAACATACCAATTTTAATTACCATGATTGAATGGTATATTTTTTTAAATATAAAAATATTAAAAGGAATAAAATAGTATTGAAGGTTGTAGTAAAAAGGGCTATTTTTCTTACCTTACCTTATCACTTGTTTCTAATCTTGTCAATATGTTATTAAAATTTCAGAGGAATGTTTGAGTCAAAATGACATAATCAGAACCTACCTTCCTGATTCAGATTCAAGAGGATCATCATTGAATGTTTCTGCATTAAAATCCAAAGGTTCTGCATCTTGGAGAAGTTCTATTCGATCTCTTTCAGTTCTATTATTAGCCCTCGTATATTTGGATGCTGTTCAAAAGGAGAAAAAAGAGAAATGCCTATTTCCTTACTGTCTTTTTATTTATAAATCACAATTCATGGGTTCACAAGAAGAAAAACCAAGATTTTACAGGATCTGAATTTTGACTGGGAAGAAAAATAATGAAAGAAAAGATAACTACATAGTTCTTTAAAGTCTGATTAAAACTATAAACAGTAGAATAGCAAATAACAGGAAAAATTTCCCCAACCTTGCAGCTAAGTTCAGAAGCAGATACAGCAGACTTAGTATGAATGAGAATACTTAACTATTGTATTATAACAGTGAAGCTGTTCATTATCAAATCAAGTTTCAGTAATAGTGACACTCATTTTTTTGGCTAGCACTAAAAAATGTAATCAACCAAAGCTCTTAAAGAAAGTCCAGCAGTGGTCAATATATATAAAATGCAAGTTCCACGTTTAATTTGAAATTTTCTAGTAATTACATGAAACAGTAAAATATATAGATTAAATTAACTTTAGTATATTTAATTCTAACACATTACATACAAAATATTATCAATATGAAGCACTAGCCACATTGTGAGTACTCAGTAGTCACATGCAACTAATGACTACCACACTGGGCAGGACAAATCTACAGAGCTCTGCCTTTTCTCCATGGATGAAGATTTTCTCTACAAACAATTTAAGTTCTCATGAAATTATCTAACAGTCCAAGTAGCTTCGAAACAACTTTAGGATACAGCTCTTTTCAAAAACTTAAAGCAACTATTCATGTCTCACATTTTGTCATCTTGAACTCTGACATAAATTCAAGCTTTTTATTTATTTATTTATTTTTTTGGTCTTTTTCCTTTATATCGGTACCGGGGATCGAACTCACGACTGCCTGCTTGCAAGGCAGGCGCTTATGCCACTGAGCTAAATCCCCAGCCCCAAATTCAAGCTTTTTTCAGTGTTTTTCATAATTTTTTCATTCATTTAATAGTAATTAACTACCACATTCTAGGATCTCAGTAACTCATCATCAAAAAAGTCTTGTGTCTCCTCTTCTATTAACCATTTTCCTATACTACCAGATGTTTCCATTCTGTAAACTTTATGGTAACACCCAATGCCTTTACAGAATCCTGCTATTCCACAGCTTTAGCTGTTCATTATTTTATCCCAATTATGTCAAATAAATCCTTTTCACCTCTGAGATCTCTGCCTTACTTTAAACCCTCTTTATTTCTTGACTGTATTATCAAAATATACTCCAAATTCATTTTTCTAAATCAAACATCCTATCATGCTTCTTCTCAGATTAAAATCCTGTTCAATACAAAACCCAACTTTTGAGTATGACAATGTCTGTTGTCCACATCTGTATGGCCTCCTCTCTTTTCAGTCTCACTATACTTAAGATGCTTAATCACAGAGAGAAATACAAAGGTTCTCTCATATCACTATGTCTTACACTCATTCACTATTTCTCCTGATTAAAAATCCTTCACTTGGCTAAATATTATCCACTCCTAAATATGGAACTATTTTTTTGTTACAGAAATATTTATTGGTCAAACCTATTCCCCAGACAAAACCCTTTTTCTATTCCCCAAGATGAGCTTTTCAGTACCACATATGTACACATCTGTAACAGCTCCCATGAGAAATCTACAATAGTCTAACAGCTCCCATGAGAAATCTACAATAAATAGCCTAACAGTTCCCATGAGAAATCTATAATAAAATCTGTCACTAAAATATTTCTAAAATTTTTATGTAGCTCTTTTGTGGTTTCTATATCTATAATATTCTCCCAACTGTTCATGCACCTCGTTCAAGCTTTCCAATTAGATCTTTTCACATACTAATTTACTATTTTAGTCACTGTACTGTCTGACAATTCCAATATTTGAATCACTTCAAAGTCTAATATGTTGACTGCTCTAGGTAAAAGATGGCTCGTATTTTTTTTTTTATAGTTTCCTATTTTCTTGAATACCTCCTCATTTTGCCAGACATTTTCTACAAAATAAAGTAGAAATTAAGACAAATACCAATTTTGCCCAGAATGGTCATATTTCTTCTATTGGTAATCCTATTGAAGGCTGAAATTAACCTAGTTGAAATATGTAGCTAATCTGAATTTGGACTTTGTTGTTTTATTTCCCTTAAGTCCCACAGATTGTACATTTCTCCAGAAATGGACTGTCATTACCTTAGGCTTTGTAGGACTTCAAGTATCAAATGGTTCTCTCTCAGTATTATTTCCAATCATGCATTTCAGCAGTCACTGCAAGCCTATGCCATGGATGGGGAGAGGGGAGTATGTTTCTACTTTTCTACTTCTCCATCAGTAGAGTACTGCTGTGCAAAATTTATCATTGACTGGAAAGGAGGCCTTGGTTTTCCTGTTTCACCTTCAGTCTTTTGCAGACCCCTGTACATTGAAACCTCAGTGATGAGGTCCCTCAGTATTATATCTCTCCCAGAGACAACAAACTTTGCCTTCTCTACAGTGCAAGGTTCTACACAAAAATAAGAGACAAATGGCTTCTTTGCCTCATGGCAGTACAAGGTCAATGCTATGAGAGTATCAGTCTCTCTCTAAAATGTGAGCATCCTAAAGTCAAGTCATTTGTTTTGTTTATATAGCTATAAACATAGGAAAGTATCTGACATATATGGGTTAATCAATAAACTATTATAAAAATGACTGAATAACCAACATCTACTAACAGAAAAATATAGAAAAACATCAAGGTAAATAGTAGAAATAAGTACTTGCCTAGAACATGAGTGGCCTAAGTGCTTATGTTATTCAGGTTAATATACTTATTCATTTGGTGTTTTCTTTATTAGAATATATATTTGAGTTTCCCTTTCCTTGTGTATATGGAGGAATATAAGAAAGTAAATCACTGAAGATAATTATTACAAAATCTAGGCATTTCTAGATTGGTATCCTAATTCTCAGTCTCTATACAGGTAAACATAAGAAAAAATCCCAAGCAAATATAAACTACTTACACCAATTGGTATTACCATCTGAGAAATTTGACTCTTTTGGATCAGAATGAACATTTCTATTCCTAGTGGAATCTTCTCTATTGTGTCCATAACGTTCTTTCCATTCCTAAGAAGGAAATATAAATGAATATGTAATTAAAGAATAGGAAATACCCATTAGTGTCAACAGATTCTATATAGAGAGTAATTATTTTAGTCAGAAATACATTAGTATCAATACCTTTAAAAATCACAGGCCAATGTTTATATTTTTATATGTTTTATTCAAATCAATCTCCGTAAGCCTGAATTTTCAGTGAAGACATTTATAGACATTTTTGCTAGCTATGATTATGTTAAATATTAATCTATCTAAAATTCAAAAACAATATTACAACTACAAACTTGACCATGTAAGAATCATGAAAACTCATAAATGACTTATCAGATGTCAGTAAAATTTTCTTTCTCTCAAATAAGCTACCACAACCTTGAAAAGTCATTTTTGATGCTGTGATTCAAGTTGTATAAGGTATAATTAGATGATGACTAACAGAATTGTGAATTATCTTAAATGTAGTAAAATCATATTCACTGAGATTGTACTCATTAAGTTCTTAGAATTGTAATGGCCACTAGAATGTAATGGCCATTCACCTAATTTAACCTGCCATGAAAGAACTCATTCTAAACTATGTTTTTCAGTTCTTTGATTAGGTCACAGTTTTCCACATTTGAGCAGGATATTGCAATTTTGGTAAATAGTGGAAGTTAGAAATTCTCATAGAGAGTGAAGTCTTTCTCCAGTAACTTTTACTCTTTGATTTTAGTTTTACCTCTCGCAATAAATGGAGATATGTCTATATGTGTAACTCCTGAAAATGTATATATTATGTACATGCAATTGTATTTCAATAAAGCTGTTTATTTTTTTAAAAAAGAACACGTCTTCCTTTTACATGATATATACTGTAAAATAGACAACTATCAAATTTCATTTCTCCCTTCATTTTATCAGGAAAATACATCCAGCTATTAAAATTTTGTTGTAATTATGACTAGGTTTTTTCATTTGTTGCCTTTTCATAAAGAGAAAGTTAGCTTGTATTAGCAAATGGAGGACTAAGAAAAATTAAGAAGGAATAAAGTTTACACTATGTTATTAAAAAAGCATAACAATTTTAAAACAATCAAAACCACTTTAATACAAAGGTTTCATGAAGTTTTTCATTCATTCAACAAATACTACTGAAAACATACCTTAGGCAACAAACTGCTTGCCACTGACCACAGATTAAGTAGTTTGTCACCAGTATCTTTTTGGAAAAAAATGACAGGATACCTAGTATTTGCATATAAAAGTACTAAAATCCCCTTTCTTGAAAAATATGCCCTGTCATTTTTCCACTGTTTTTATATCTTTAACCAATTACCTTAAATCGGTATGATTCTTACTACTGTTAAGTGATTTAGTAAATACTGTACTTACTCTTCTTCGATTTTCACCTTCTTCTTGCCTTTGCCTTTTTCTCTTCTCTAGAGACAGAAAAATAACCTCAAATTTGGTTGAATATTGTTTAATTAGACATAGAGTAATTGCAATAAGATATTTTCCTTATGGTGACCTAAAATTTGTTGCTCTCTAACTTCTTTTGTTTCTAGCTCTATCTTCTAGGCTGACTCATACTTTTTTCTCTGTGTCTAATAGGAGTGCTTTCTCTTGTTACTCTCTCTCGTTACTCTCTTTAAGTCATATACACTCAGCATTTAACATCGCCCCATACAGGATATACTATAATTTTGGTTGTCCTTCAAATACCTTCTAATTTATTGTCTTATTTGTGAAAATCAGATGAGGTCTAATTAATTCAAAAAACAAAACTATTGTATCAACTCAATAGTAGGGAAGAACTATACAGTACTTGAAAGTGTCAGAGAATGTCCAAATCCCAATGTCCCAAAGTCAAATCCCTCCCGTCCCTACATTCTATCATCTCCTCCACATCAGTAAGTTAATACATTCAATTTTGTGACTGGCTTTTAGTAGAGTGCCATATATTCTAACAGTGCTCACGTTCTCACATTAATAACATGATAAGAGAAACAGCCTTGAATTGAATGATTTTCCATGCAGTATCAAACTAATGACTCTCTAATGAATTTTATAGAATATAGAATTTGGAAAATATGTTTCAAGGGAAATATGAATACAACTCCAAAATGATAAAAAGCTGTTTTTAGTTGTAGATATAATTTATGATGTAGAATCTTTCTTTCTTTCTTTTTCTGTCTTTTTGAGACAGGGTCTCACTAGGCAGTTCAGGCTGGCCTTGAGCTTACTTTGTAGCCCAAGATTGTCTGTCTTGAACTCACAACGATCCTCCTACCTCAGTCTCCCAAATGCTGGGATTACGGGAATGCACCACCACGCCCAGTAAGAATTTCTTAAAGAAACATGAAATATGGATGTTTTCAATTTATTTTTCCTTACAAAAATATATAGATAGATTTTTAGCTAACCAGCATTAATTTCTAATTTCTTAAGATATATTAAAGGTTATTTACAAATTATACAAACATTATTTTTATCTTAGCACTTAGCATCTTCTTTTCATTTACTTTAAAATCTTACCTCGTTTGATTAATTCTTTTCCTTCATCAACTAAGTCTGATGTCATATCATTATCTCCCATAAACTGCTGGAAACCAAGCAGATTCAGACAACGAGTTCCCAAACTAGTAAAAGTAGATGTTCGTAAGACAAGCATTATTTTCCATTGTAAACAACTAAACTATTCTTTAGTATTGTCAACCCCAAAGAAGCCTATGGTTCATTATTACTTATTATTGCCAAGTTACATAGTATTACATCTATAATTCTTTAAGCAGAACTAATTTCTCTTTCTAGGAAGCTTATACCCAGCAGTTTTCTCAGTACTGTGTATAGATTCCTTACGGTATAGACTCCTTACAGAAATAAACTAGGTCAGGCTCAGAACCACCTAAAAATAAAAAGCAAAAAATGAAAGAAGGAAAAAAAAAACCAAAGTGCTTAACATTAATAAAATGTTTTTGAATTCAATGTATGTGAAGATATGGACAACTATTTCAGAGAGAACAGGAGCCATTAGGATAGCAACTGGTGATTTCCTGTTGTCTTGTTTTGAAATCCTGTATTGCTTGCATTGTTTTGTTTTGTTTTGATTTGCTTTGTTTTGTTTTGTTCTCTTTAAAACAAAAAACAATGTTTTTGAAGAAGTGGTATTTTTGGTGTGTTATGAAGCATTTATGAAGTAAGAACAAACAAAAGGATCTTCTACATGTGAAAGCAGAGGATACAACAAAACAGGCACACCTGTCCTTTAATTTCTTTCGAATTTTATATCTTCCAAGCTTCTATCACTTACTTTAATTCCATAAAACAAGCAATCCATGAACCTTGCAAAACTAGAGAATTTCTCCTCCAATCCTAGATGTCCTTCTTGGTTATAACTGCTCCTAACCTGACTCATCATAACGGGTGTGATTTGAAGCATTTAGAAACCCAGCAATGATTATGAGGAAAGCCCTAAGATTAAATTATGAGTTATTAGAAAGAAGTTAGGTATGAAAGGGTCAGGCTATATCGGACTTCACTGACAAATGCCAGGAGTTAGGTGTTAATATACTGTAATTAATCATACCAGTTTGTGCTTAAGTAACTGTAGTAAAATAACACTACTTCTCTTTTCATTAAAATATCCTTAGAGGGAAGAACCTAATTTCTTCATTAAAGCAATTTCTTCAAACTATTCTCAGTTTCCTCAAAACCAAAATCAAACAAACAACAACTATCAAGCAAACAGTAAATATTTAAAGAAGTTTTACAAAGAAAAGATACACAGATCCCACTATGGGTATAAGGAAAAATGATAAATTTCTTACCTAAAATAAGTAGCAATGCAGAGAATTACCACCAACATAGGATAATAAATGTAGAATCCATCTGCAATAAATGATAAAACTTTCATGGAACCCATAATCTGAAGAGCAAAAAAAAAGTTATATCAGCATAGTTGTATATTTTTCATTTGTTTCCATCATTAGAAAATCTGCTGATAACCAGTTATATCAATATAACTAAACTTTAAACTTTTCAAAAGCTAGACACAAAAGCAGTAAGTGATCTGATTTTTTAAAAATTTGCTTTCTATTAAGATTTTCTACTACAGAAAACTGCTATTTTAAAAATACAACCCAAAAGTATATGTAAGTCTATAATTACGAAAATGAACATTATGTTAAGTTAGGTCTCTTAATATTACTCAGCTAGACAACCTAATGAAGTAAAAAACATTTTTCATAATAAGAAAAGCAAAATCACTTTATCAAATTATCAGTAGTTATATGTACAATCTTTAAAAGAAAGTTTAAGTAACTGGAGTCCAATAATGTTACAGAATTTTTCAACCAACATTAAAAGAAATTTTACAGTAACATTTCACACATAGATAACAAATCTAAAGAATTCCGCTTTTTTTTTTTTAACCATACTTACAGATGTATAAGCAGTTGGCTGAGTATTCCGGTGAGAGATGGAGGAATCCATATGGGTCAAACCCAAGAAATTAAGACATAAAGGAGGAGTCAAACGGCAAAATAACCTACAGTAAACAATTTTTTAAAAAAGAATATATAAAAATAACGCAGAAGAATACATTTTTTGTTAAACTGAAATGTATTCAGGTCACTGTACCTATAATTTTCATCTAGTTGTATAATACATACTCTGAATTCTTTTTTTTTTTTTTTTTTTGTCTTTTTCATTTTTATCGGTACCGGGGATCGAACTCACGACCACCTGCTTGCAAGGCAGGTGCTTATGCCGCTGAGCTAAATCCCCAGCCCCATACTCTGAATTCTTAATGTGCACTGCCCTTACTAACTTGGAGTGACATTCACTGTCCTAGTAATAACATCTGTCATGAAAACATCTGTATCTACAGAGCAAAACTACAGCCTCAGGATGCCTGGTATGGCTATTCTACCATTGCTTTATCTGCATAATTTGTGGCAGGATTTTATACTTCTCAATTCCACCACCTGGGCAAGCCCCCATCTTGCTGTATGACAAAAACAGTAACATCCACAAGGCAAATGGAACTCAGTACATAAAGGATCAGAAGTTGTATCACAATGTGTCATTTTGACAGGCACAGCTATAAAAAATTGTTCAGTTTCATCAGATAAAGAAAAAGTACCTTATAAAACTAAAGTTGAAGAACTGGGAGTGGATGGGGTATAAATATAAAGTAATATGAGGAAATTCCTTTGTGGTTAAAAAAATAAAGATGGATTAAAACCCCAAAAGGCTAAGTGTGATGGTGCATGCCTGTAATCCCAGCACTAAGAAAGCTGAGGCAGGAGAATTGCCATGGGTTCAAGACCAGCCTGGACTACATTGTGAGTTCAAGGCCAGGCTGAACTGCAAAGTGAGATTCTGCCCAAAACACATACAACTCACAAAGAAAAACCTCAAGAGAACTAAATAAGCCATATAATGTAGCCAACAGTAAAATTGTAATATAAATGTCCTGGTTTTAATATTGATATTTTAAAACAGCTATAAAAGATATCACCATTTGACAGGCCCAAGACATAAAAGCAAAAGAAACTTAAAAATGCTTGAGATAACAATGTTCTCTGAACTTTCGAGTCTAGCCATCACAAATACATCATAGGATTGACTGAAGAACACATAATATTATGCAACCTAGCCCAAAGAGCCATCTCTTTAAATTATCTCTTTAAATTCCTCAAGAAAAAGTGTTCTAACCAGTTTTATTAGTCCTCCTCAAAACAATTTCAGGTCACCGACTTTCAGATTATTTTGCAGGTATGAGTTAATTTCTAAATTTAGCACCAAAAAATTAAAAAGCTAAACTTCCAATTGTTTCTACTACTTAAGTCATCTATAAACTGACTCTTGACTGGTAACCTCATTTTTCCTATATTTCTTTTCCTACCCAACCTGGCATAATTAACTTTAAAAGTGAAGCAGGATTTAGCTGGTAACCAAAAATGGTACTTATTATTACCTAATCAATTGACTCATAGAAATGTAGGTGTTAGTACAACATTCATAAACAAAAATAAGAGATCCACAGAGATACATGCAATGGAGACATTTCTGTGTTTCCAAACTCAATCCTACTTACATGCCACTGAAAAGTAGACTGTATGCATCAGTCTGGTGATGGGAAGCCAAATAATAATAATTAAATACACGAATCCTGAATACAGTAGAATAAACACAAATACTGAGGAAGAAGATGGAAAGGAAGCAAGCAATCTGGAAAAAAAATTTGTTTAAAACTAATGAATATTACAAGATTTATATTATTCATTTGCAGAAAATATTTATTGATGTTCTGAAATTTAAATATGATAATGGAAGTTTTCTTTATACTGGGGATCAAATTCACAAACCTCACGCTTGCTAGGCAGGTGCTTGTGCCACTGAGCTATATCCCTGGGCCCAATAATGGAATTTTAAAAAATGATCTAAGAAAATGAAATTACAGAAAAAAAAATCTACATTTCAACCAGTTCAGTATCCTAGATCTCTAAGTTTCAAATCTATCTCCTAAAGTCAGCCTGTTTTCCCATTCCCTTGAAAACTCCACATGAAGACTCCAAGTTATGCAGCTTCACTGTGATAAACAGCAAAGTATTCTCATAAAATTATCTTGCAGTATCTTGCACTTTTTCATCTCTCCTTAATTACAGCTCACTTTTTGTACCCTGGGTAAGCTCATTTTTGGAAGTCTCCATAATACTGTAGAAAATATCTCTGCTTTTATTATTACTATATGAAATAAATATATGAGAAACAATACAATAGTTAAGGGTAAGACTATGAAGCTGAATATACTTATGTTAGATATAAAGTCAACTGACCTCGATATAAATATAATTGTATGTTTTTTCTGCCAGCTGTATGAAGACTGCAAAGAGGGATAAGACCGGAGTTGTGCTGAAGAATGTGCACTCTGACCACACAACAATCACTGAAAAGATGGATAAAACCACAGCAAGAATCCTGTAAAACCACGGTCGCAAAAGACATTCCCAGTACCATTCTAGAAGATGGGAAAAATAAAATAATATTAGGAAAAATAAAGTAGTAACAGAATATTTGTACTGTTTCAAAATATATCCAACAAGATAATTACAAAGAGAAAAATAGCAGCTTTACACTGGAGGAACCATCACCTTATCCAGACAGACATCACCCAAACAACAGTTTGTGATAACAAACTATCATCACATGTGCTTCCTTGCTGTGATACACTGAGCAGAAAACAATGTCACTGCCATGGAATTCTTTCCCCAAATGCATAACCTGTATCTAATCATTAAGACATTCAACAGAAAACTGACCCATACCCTCTACAAACATCGATGTCATAAAACACAAATAAAGCCTAGAAAACTGTTCTTGATTAAAGGAGACTAAGAAGATAGGACGACTGAATGCAATGCATGATCTACAATATTTTACAAAGGACATCACTGGAATAATTAAGCAATAAGGTCTGTGAATAATGGCCATATATCAATAACAATTTTCTGATTTGGGTAGTAATAATTGGTTAGGTAAGAATGTACCTTTAATTTTAGAAAATACACACTGAAATGTAGAAGCAAAGAGGTATCATGTCTGACTATAACTCTAAAACATTAAAGGAAAAAAATACAGAGAAAGATAAAGCAAATACAGTAAAATTTTAACATTTGGAGAACTTTATATGAAAATATTTTGTCAGATTCCAGTTTAAGTCTAAATTTAGGTAAAAATAAAAGTTAAAAGAAAAAAGAAAGCACAGTAAGTTGAAAAGGCCTTATTTACATTTTGGGTGTTAGGGAATAAACCCATGGCCTCATGTATGCTAAGTATGTGTTACACCACTCAGGTACACCCTCAGCAAGGCTATGTTTTCACTTCATTCACTAAAACATTGAGCTCCCATCTCAAAGAAGTAAATCCTTTCAACTCTAAACTTAGCATAATTTCTGCTGATTTCATTATCCACACAGGTGATCTTACTTTGAAGACTGTGATCTCTCATTTTATTTCTTCTCTAATCACCTTGTTCTCAACACTATCACACTCCTTCCTATAGTCTTTTCTAAAACAAAACACTGAGAGTTAGCACTATTTTATACTTTCTCCTTCAAAACCTTCTGCCCCCTATACCTACTCTTAGCATTTAGCTAAGCAAACAGAAATATCAGAAGAGAACTTCCCCACATTTCTACTATTATATCTTCTCACATCTATGGTAATTCTGTGCCTTACTTCTAATCAATAGCATGCTTGTCACTGTTCATTATTTTTCATCTGTGAACACTGTTTCAGAATTTTCCACTACCCTATCAAATTTCTTCTCTTTATCCATTCCCAAGTTACTAGCTATAATTTCTCTTCTACCCTTTACCCACTGATCCTCCATCAACTGCTACTCCTCTTTTCTACCCTTTTCTATAAGGTAAACATTGCAAGAGTTTTCTATAATATCTTTAGTTGCCTTACTTACTTCTTCTAAACCTCAATCAGGCTTTATTACCTTTCTTCCATCTCTCTTCTCTGAAATCCAGTTGGCAAATCTTAGTATTCATGATGCAGCCTATCTACAACAATTGAAAGGTATGTTATACACCTTTTTCCTCAAAAAATTTTACTCTCCTGGTTTACATCATATCTCACTGGCACTCCTATTTTAGTGTCTTCTGCTTGCTCCTCTTATCAATTAATCTCTGAAGTCTGGATTGCTTCAGGTTTGGGCCTCACTTTTTCTCGTCTCTGTCACTTCATTACTGATTTTTACCTGACCCATGGCTCACTATCCATTGAAGGCACCCTAATTTGTATTTGCAGACCAGTCTTCTGCCCTAAGTTTCTGTTTCTACCACTAACAACCTGTATGCATTTATTGTGTGTTTTTCTCAACTCACAAGGGCATGAATTTTGGTCTTTTTAAATTGATACATATATAGTACCCAACAATACACAAAATTTATGTACTCAAATATTTATTGAATAAATGAAAATGTATCCATCATACCATGCCTTTGTTTAATTAGAAAAAATCTTTGTTGAAAAAAAATTTTCTGAGGTATTTGTTTGGTTATTAAGTCTTCATATTGAAGATCAAACATTCAAAAGATGATCAAGTGAATACAGCTGTTAGAATAAAAGATGTTTATTTGTAGTTTTGGTACAGAGACAATTTGACACATAGATTAAGTTTCTTCACACTAAATTTGGTAACATTTAAAAGGAGTGTCATAAGCAATCATAGAAGTGAAAAAAAACGATGACTGAAGTATGTAGGTTTCATAAAGAAAGAAGATGAAAATAAAGAGGACTTCTTACTGGGACTTTTCTTTTTGGTAACAAGGATCAAACTCACAACCTTTCATTTGCTAAGCAGACACTTATGCCGCTGAGCTAAACTCCCGGTCCCCTTAGTGGAATATTTTAATAGACTGTCAAAACTGAAGAACAGATTCAAATTTATGCTGTAAATTTCTTAAAATACTAATTAAGTGTATATCATCCATATACAAAATATGCTTGATGTATTATTACATACATTTTTGCATACAATTTCAACAATTTGTGAAGTAATAGTGACAAATGATGGATACACTATATGACAAGTAAACTGGTTACTTCAGAGAGGGAAATTTACCAAATATCACCCCATAATATAAATAATTCAAGTGAATTTTGGCTTTGTTTTGATTAAAATACACTCTTATTTTCTTGCATAAAACTACCATTCAACTTTGAAATTTATATAAAATTACTTACCAACTGTAGGATTATAAAAATATTGGATAAATCGATTTTCTGGCTCTGGAGACTGGAAGGTATGAACGAACTGATGGGTGGCACTAGTTTCATTTTTTGCTACATCTTCCAGATAAAATGCTTGTTCCAAAAGAATCTGCCATTGCACTTGAGTTCGACGGTGCCTCTGAACTGAATAAATCACCTAAAATAGAGAAGTGTAAGGGGTAGACTTGTCATTGTTCTGATCTAACAATGGCTGAACTCTTTTTTTAGTAATTAGTTAATTAATTTATTTATTTTCCTCACAAAAGACAAGTAGTAGTCGCATTTACTGGGTGGGAAAGTGATGAAGAATTCTAACAGTTGCATTTTTCTCTGCCCAATTTCTAACAGTACCCTTGTCTGGAAACATGAAGTTAAATATTTCAAAAATACTGATAAAGACAAGATAAAAAGAAACTTTTAGATATATATTCAGTTAAAATTTCTTCTGTGTAGATAACAATTATAAATATATTTGAAATCATCTGACAGTGAAATAGCTATAATTAATAATGAAAGTTACCTGTTTATGCAATTTTACTAGACTTTTTTCACTTGGGTAGGTATTACGCTTTTCATCAAAATCTTCATAATCATCCATATTCCTACCCATTTTTTCCTGATACTCTGTAGGGCACTAAAAGGAGCAAGCAGATTTTTTAAAAAAAATTTAATTTTAAAACATAAAATTTCACAGAAAACCATACTACTAAGTTTTTGTTAGTTCATCAGACAGAACAGTTTGTACTGTCATTGTTTGACTGCCCACTTTTTATGCTTTGATTTTGTGATGTAAGCAACTACTTCTAAGACGATGATATGTAACTTAATCAGTTAGTGATTTCTTGGTGTTTTTTTGACATTCTGTATCATTTCTACTCTTTTTTCTGTTTTGCTTTTTTCTCTAAATAAAAAAATAACATTTATTTTCATTAAAAGTATCATTCTCAGTCATCTCTAAAATTTTCTTAAAAACAAACTCTTCCTTTATTAGCATCTCCAAATAGATTTCTCCTTACTAATACTTTTCGATAATATCTTAAAAGATGTATTGACTTTCTTCTAACTTCCACTTATACTAATCTTTATGTTCAGTTATGCTAACTGGAGGACATCGAAGGCAGGGAAGCTTATCTACATAAAGTAACTAGTATTTGAGAATTATCCTAAATAGGCAATTGATAAAAACTCACTGATTTTCTAGGTTAGGTACCTTATAAATCCAATATGCTGAATTTTTAAATGTTACATTCAGAAAATTGCATATTCTATACGGAGTATCTTCCATACTATTAGTAATTTATTATCTATGTGAACTTGGACAAGTTAAGTTCCATAATAGGTCTCAAGAAGTAGCAAATAAGAGACATGGTTAAAAAACTTATTCCTACAACAGGATTTTAGCTAAAGGAACACTAGCTAATAATCAATATAACTGATTTAAAACACAGAAAAAGACATATTTCAGTGATTCTGTGGATGCATAAAAGACAATAAGGGAACTCTGCAAATAATCACTTTTGAAAGTATATAAGTTCTAATTTAATACTGCCATATCAAAATCTTAGCTGCATGGCTTTCTATTAAACCCCTACGTCATATATTTCATAATGTTGCTTATTTAATGATAAATATTTTGTAAAGTGACATGTAGGAAGTTTGCTGAAATGGATTACTTTTCTGTGTGTGTGAGAGATAAGGTTTTGCTATGTAGCCCAGGCTGACCTGGAACTCACAGCAATCTTTCGGTCTCAGCCTCCCAGATGTGAAAATTATAGGTATGTGCCACCATGCCTAGCTTCGAGTTTATTTTCCTATAAGAGATATGCCTTTAGTGACCATTTACAATGGCAGTTTAAAGGTTCTACCACTGAATCATGGCATGTACTACACATTATTCAACATCACCGCTATCTCCACATTTCAATAGAAAACAAACTTTAAAACTGATTTAACAAAAAAAGCATTATGTACACATTACCATTAGCTTATGGTTAATATTTCCATATGGGCTGGGAAGACCTCACTCATAGTTCTTTTCATACTTTGCTGAAGCTTTTGTTACTATATAAAACAGTAATCTATATTATATAAATTCATATTTAAAAAGGAAATAGACGAGATAATATAATTTAATTACCTTTTTAAGTATTGTGTCAACACACTTTCTCAATGGGTGGTTATACTTGATGCATTCATTCACTTTACGAACTTCCTATAAAAACCATGAGAAATAAAAAATTTTCACTTTTACATATCAGACATTTCAAATGCGAATGCACTAAATGCTAGTATCCAAGTTTAATTTCAACTCAAATTATTTACTATTACACAAAGTTCTTTTCATCAAGTAAAAATTCCTAATAACCTATATAAAAAATAAAGTAAGATGTAGAGTGACTACTGGCAATCCTGGAGGCCTCCAAAGAGAAAGATACTGGTGGAATGGTGCAATGGACATAGTAGATGATGGTGGCGGCTGAGTTAGTCATGCTCAGATGTCCCCCAGGAAAGGACAACTGGCTAGTAACCATCCTGAAGAGAGGTCATTTGAGCTCAGAACTCAGAGGAGCTGCAGGCTGGCTCCATGTAGCAGCTCTCAGTGTCAGGGTGAGGCTGCTGAGTTCGACTCAACACAAGGTCATAGAGCCAACTTCAAGCTGGCAGGGAGCTACTGACCGACAGGAGGCACATGGGCCATTACAGACTGAACAAACTGGGTAATAGCCTCACAGCTAGCAACCTGCCTGCACTTCTGTGGAACTGAAAGTTCAGGCTTGCTGGAATTATCCACTACGCCACTATAAAGCTATAACTTGCTTGCTGGGATTAATCAACTTGGGTCTGGACTCTGCCCACACTGTCTAACAGTGACAGCATACACATGCCTTGAAGTGGATATTTTTTCTTATTTACTTTCTTTCTTTTCTTGAATTTTTGTTGTGTTTTGATTTTTCTTGTTTATTATGTTTTGTATATAAGTGTTAACATGGTTTCTCATTCTTTTGTTGTTCTTTTCTATACTTGTTTTAATTTCTTCCTTTTCTCTTTCCCTCATATCTTCTTCACCAATTTCCCAAAGTTTGTGTTCTCTTTCTGTGTTTTCCAGGCTTGCTTCTAATCTCTTCCTCTTCTATTTCTCTGTCCCCTCTCCCTAAAATCTTTTGAAGTTTAATGGCAATACTGAGGACTTAGTTATTATTTATAACTTTCTGGTTTGTTTTAGATTTTGTAATATAACCACAGATCCATTTCATATAACTAAAGATGACAAATTAATTATTATCAGTTTGTCACTTTCTAGACTGTGTTTGATGTTACTGTGATTGCTAATTGTACTACTTCAGCCAGGTGACAAAATTATTCTAATCAGTTGTTTTTCCTGATATACCAAGACTGAGATTGCGTAAAAATCATAAACAATGCTATAGACCCATACTAAAGAACCAGGGACTGGGCCAAATAGGGAGCAACTTTCCTTCCTCAATAAATTGAAGATGCAGAATCTTTTAAAAGACGCAAAACCCAAAAGCCAGCTACATTTGGAAGATATCTCCAAGCAGTCATTTCCTAATGGGTTGAAGTACTAGTAATAAAGCTACTCTATATAAGCAATTTATAAGCATTAATCAAGGAATTAAATGGAAAATAAATTAGAAAATGAGATGACATTTGAAAATAAGACACAACCCCAGACTTCCAGCTCACGAAGGCAAGGCCAGGCAGCAATGAGGTGGAACAATCTGAAAGCCACCCACCTGGACTCTTGAAGTGGTAACAACAGAAGGAACAAAGCAGATGAACAAGGTTCTAGAAAAAAAATCAAATCAGAAATAATTTCTCAGATAACTACAGAGGTGGTGACAACAGTGAAAGACATGGTTAGTGACCCTAGAGCAGATACAGATTAAAAAAAAAAAAAAAAAGGAGCTTAGAAATTTATGGAAACCATGAATGCCCAACAAAGCAAGGAAATGAAATCTATGAAACAGATTCAAACAGCTATCTAGGACATTAAAAATTCCACTGAAAGTATATGCAGGAAAATGAACCAATTTGAGGACAGAGTATCAGATATAGAAGACAGGATTGCAGTTAGCAATCATGAAATGAAAGATTTATTAAAAATAGCAAGGGACCATGAAAAATTCAGCTGTTGCTAGATGATACAAATAATAATAATATAAAATTGGTCAGAGTTAAAGAAAAAGAATATAGTGCAAATGAAACAAAAAAACTTGTTTACAAAAGTAAGGACAGAAAACTTCCCTAGCAAGGAAAAATAATTTAACAAACAGGTAAGTGAGGCATACAGAACTCCAATTTACCATGATAAAAACAAAAACAAAAAACAAAACTACCAAGTCATATAAAAGTCAAGATTCCAGAAATTCCACACAAGAACAAAATATCAAAAGCTGTTGGAGAATAGAAACAAATCATCTATAAAGGAAAGCCCATCAGAATCACAGCAGAGGTCTCAACACAAGACCTCAAATCATGGAGATCCTAGAGTAAAATATCTCAAGTCCTCAAAGAAAACAACCTGCAACCCAGACTGATGTATCCAACAAAACTATCTTTCAAAATTGATGATGAAGTAAGATACTTCCATGACCACCAGAGAAAATTCATGAACACCAGACCAGCACTCCAAACTGTCTCAAAAGACATTCTTGAAAGAAATAACAAGGAATACAGTTCCATGAATCCCAACAGAATGAATCTGCCAAGCAAGATAAGCAATTAAACAGAGGGCAGTAAAAAAGGAAATCAACAACAGTAAAGTAACATGACGAAGGTAAGTCAATATAAATCAGGTATAACCATCTATGTTAATGGCCTCAATTCACCAATTGAAAGCAATTAGCAGAATGGATCAAGAAAAAAGATCCGTCAGTGTGGTGTATACAAGAAACACACTGATTCAAAAACAAAGTCACAGAGTGACAGTGAAAGGATGAAAAACAATACTTTATGCAACAGGAAATCAAAGAAAGCAGAGGTCACTATTCTATTTGCAGACAACAAGCATTTAAGCCAAAGCTTATTAGGACAGACAAGGTCACTATATCTTTGTAAAGGGAATAATCCATGAGGAAAAGATAACAATTATAAATATATATGCACTAATACCAATACATCTAACTATGTAAACCAAATACTAATAGACATGAAAAATCAACAAGCAGAAATACAATTGTAATGGGGGAATGTAATACCCAACTGCAACAAATAGTCAGAAAAAGTAGACAAAAATCAATAATGAAATATCAGAAATAAACCAAACTTTTGAACAAAGACTTTAATAGATATTCAGAGTAGTCCACCTCACATCAAAATGTACTTTCTTTTCAGCTGCACATGAGATGTTCTCCAAAATTGAAGATACTTGCTAATAGAACATGCTTGGGTAAATACAAAGGAACTAAAATTATCCCATACATATTAGACCATAGTGCGTTGAAATGGGAAACCAAAGGAAAAGAAACCTTAATTACCTCATAAGCACATGGAAATTAAATAACACCTTCTTGAACAATTAATGGGTCCCAAATGAAAGAAATTAGACTGTTTTTACAATTAAACAATAACGTCAATACTATATACTAAAACGTTTGGGACACAAGGAAAGCAGTCCTATTTAGGATGTGAAAGATCACTTGGACAGCTCTCCTTGAACGCAGGACAACTACTTTCAGTTTAGGTACACCTGGCCCCATCTCCATGTACTCATAGAGCTGGCAAAGTTATTTCCTTTTCCCTTCCATTGGTTCTTAGCAAAGTAAATAGGGCTAGCTGAAGTAATCATAAGACTACCCTATCTCCTCCTTTGTGTTTCTCCCTCTAAAAAGCTGAGCACAGCAGGATGACAGAGCAAATGCTCCAGCAATGTCAACTGGGTTTGAGTCTCAAGATAAAAGGTTATAACTTCCCAAGGCAGAACAAGTTTGTAGATTGAAACTGAAACACCAGTAGTCCCCCAAACATAAAATGCTATCTCGACTGTGTTATGCAGATTGGCTTTCTGCATACACTTCTCTTTATATATTGCAGAGTTGCTTTTTGGTCACCTAGCTAGCACAGCTCACACTACTCAAGTAATTGCCGCCATTCTCACCATCACTTATCCTCAAGCCTCTCCCTTCTTCCAGAATTAATAAATCCTGGGTTAGGCTCTGGGTTGGGCCTTTGTCCTGTGAATTCTCATCTGGACTGGACTCAGGACCCCTTGGCTGTACACAACTATGAATATGTCTTAGTATCTTTATTCTCACCATGCATTGCCCTGGAGGTCATAGATCAATCAGAATTAATTCACCCAGTGTTCCAATAACATTTCAATGGTATTACAAATATAAACTTTCCAGACTAGGAGGAGGTTGGAAAAAGAGATTACAGTATTTGGTTTATAATATGAAGGAATGTACGGCAGAGCATACTCATATGAAACAGAGGAAACTCACAAACAACCTAATGTTGAACCTCAAGCTTATAGAAAAAAGAACAAGTCAAGCTCAAAGCTTGTATGATGGAGGAAATTATAAAGATCCGAGCAGAAATTAACATAATAGAAACTAATAAAACAATATGAAGATCATTGAACTGAAAAGTTGGCTCTTTGAAAGATTAAATAAAACTGACAAACCTGTAGAAAACCTTACCAAAATGAAAGACTCAAATATACGCAATTAGGAATAAAAAGTGAAATCAAAGCAGATACTACAGATATCCAAATATTCATCAATACCTACTTTGAGAACTTGTATTCTACCAGAAAAGAAAACACACAAGAAACAGACAGACTCCCAGATATGTACAAATTACAGAAGCTAAATCCAGAAGATATAAAAATTATAAATGAACTACCATCAATTAATGAAACTGAAGATGTAATTAAAAACTTACCAACAAAGAAAAGCCCACACCATGATGAATTCACTGCTGAATTCTACAAGAAATTTAGAGAAGGCCTAATGCCACTACTTCTCAAAATTTTTAACGAAATTGAAAGAGAAGCAGTACTCCCCAATTCATTCCTAGAAACAAGCATTACCCTGATAACTTCAGAGAAGGATTCAACAAAAAAGACAACTACAGGCCAATCATCCAAGTAAATACTGGCACACAGCATACAGGCTGTCATCAAGAAGATTATACACAATGACGAAGTAGGATTCATCCCAGAAATAGAGAGATAGTTCAACATACACA